GGGCGCTTTTCAGCACCGCAACCATCGCATTCCGAAAAAATGCAAGTCAGGTCGGGAGCAAACGGCAAACTGTCCCGCGCCCTCCGCGGCGTGGCAACGGGCCGCCGGGCCGCTGCTCCCGGCGGACTCCCTCCGCGAGGAGGCGGGGTCGTGATGGAACCGCGACTTGCAGAGAATCGACAGCGGCCCCGCGGTGGGCGGCCGACGGTGCTGGGACACGACCTCAGCAAGCGCGGCGGGCACCACGTGCGCGGCGGGCCGGGTAAGGACACGCGCGGATCGTCTCAGGCTCTAAAGTCTGCCTCCAGCCGCATTTCCCGCGCGGGGCCCGGCGGCTGCCCCCCCCCCTTCCCCCCCTCGGCCCGGCCCCTCTCCACGTGGACCTCTACGCAACACGTAAGCGAGCTCAGCTGCAATTGCAGCCCGGCTCGGAGTCTACGCCAGCTCGAGTCGAGCGCGCCGCATTCGACACCGTCACGCCCGCAGACGATACTTTATGCCCTCTGGCTAAACATGAATATACTTCAGTAACACTTTAACGTGCGATAGCTTTGACCTTCGATAAGGAAAAAGGCGCTAGACTAGCAAACTATTATTAGGCGAAGCGGCCTTAGGGGGTCATCCAGGAAGTACGTCCGTCATTCGCCGTTTACGAAAGTGCCAGGTTCAGCCGACGCAAGCTCTCGTAGCGCCTGGCAGGTAGGCAACATCTCGCCTGCAGTGCAGACGTGCACTGCGGGCTAGCCTACCCCAAGCCTCGCAGGCGCTGAGGTCCAGTGATTTGTCCGCACAACTCGGAGAATGAAAACGCGCGCACTTGCCGGCGAACACGGTGTAGAGAGATCACTACACCGTGCCGGCGAACGAAGACAACGACGAACGAACAATAAAAGGGAGAGCTAGCCCAGCTTCAGCACTTCGACCCCTCCCCCTTCCCTCCCGGACTCACAGCGCAGGACGGCCTGATCGGGGTGCCGGGCCGGGTGCCGCTGGTCGCGACGGTGGTGCGAGGGGTGGCCTCCTCTGATTGCTATCACTGCCACAAGTTCATCGGCCGCGGGTCGCCGCCGTCGTGACTGGCGCGAACACACACACAGGCCCCGACCGGCCCCAACCCGAGCCCGGCCGGCGCTCAGCAACGCTTCGTTTTGTTCTGTAGAACTTCTTGCCATTACGGGCGGGGCCGCGGGGGGAGGCGG